GCAGGGCTGGAAATTGCAGGGGCCAGAGCATCAATTTCAAGATACAGCTGCTGCTTGATCACTTTTAGCTCTGGTGCCAAGAAATTATCCAGAAAAGAAAAAAGTCACAGCCTGCAAGGAAAATTGACTCTGATTATCAGTGGGAGGTCAGCTTGCTGCCACACAAAATAGCAGAGGGAAGAATTTCTTTAGCGCTCAGGGATCCCAGTGCATTTCTCAAATGGAACAAACTCCATGTAAAAAGCAAGTTGGTCTGTGCAGTGGAAGGGATTAGCTTTAGTGAATACTGTAGTGCTTTGCCAGGATCCTTTCTTAGAATGATTTACCCAGCCAGGCACGGTGGCTCACGCCTGTAATCCCAACACTTTAGGAGGCCGAGGCAGGCAGATTGCCTGAGATCAGGAGTTCGAGACCAGCCTGGGCAACATGGTGAAACACTGTCTCTACTAAAACACAAAAAAATAGCCAGGTATGGCAGCAAGCACCTGTAGTCCCAGCTACTTGGTAGGCTGAGTCAGGAGAATTGCAAGAACCTGAGAGTTGGAGGTTGCAGTGAGCTGAGATTGTGCCAATGCACTCCAGCCTGGGCAACAGAGCAAGACTTCATCTCAAAAAAAAAAAAAGAAATGATTTACCCATAGCCTGGCTGCTTGTGGATCCCAGCTGCACCCCGTTCTAGCATCATCGTTCATCATGTTGGTGAAGGAAGAATCTCCCACCCTAAATAGCACAAGGTAGCTGTCTACATGACACCTTGCACAGGACAGATGTCATCAACAGCAGTTTATGAGTTACACGTACTCACGGCCTGGGGAAGAGGACACCACACACCAGGCAGGGACACACAAGGGGTGCACTCAGGAATAGAGTGAAGCGGAGGGACACAGAGGCAGGCTTTATAGGAACAAGGAGGTGTGGTGGCCTCTGGTGACTGTGGGAGGATATGTGGTTGGCTTGTTTGCGTTATGGGCTGGCAGGGGCTGGAGACACATGAGGTTGAGGATTGATGGGGGACACTGGTTCAGCCGACAGTGGAACAAGCCAGGCAGGAGCAGGGGCACTCACGGGGCCCCTTTGGGGCCTAGAAGCCTGAAGCACACTTGAAAATTGTTCTTCTTCCCATTTGAGTCTGCATATGAGGATGTTTTCAGTATTCACATCCACTCTAATTAAAGGAAAGTTTACCATTCCAATAAATGCACTCCACAGGTGAGTTCTGGGGAGGAGACCCCTAAAATGCAATGAGCGTTGTATTGTCTCTTCAGGAAACTATAGTCAAAAAGCCACAAAATCAAAAGGAATCTTTCTACCACATCACCTTATAACCAGGAAGGAGATTTGGGGTCATGACCATTTAGAAGGAAGATGAAGATACATGCAGTAGAAATAGTATAAAATAATTCACTAAAATGCCCTTTTACACATTCATTTATCAAGTTCAAAGTTACATTATAGATCGGGGTTGGCGAGTTTTCTTTTTTGTTTTTTAATCAAGAGCTAGATAGTAAATATTTTAGGCTTTGTGGGCCATATGGTCTCTGATGACTCAGTTTTGCTGCTGCTGTGCAAAAGCAGCCATGGACAATAATAAATGGGCATGGTTGTGCTTTAACAAGACTGGCTATGAGAGCTGGTGGCCGGCTGCACTGGGCCCACTGGTGTAGTTTATCAACCCATTATAAAGTATCTGTTCTCAAAACACATATTTCATAAGTCTGTATGTTACCTTATTTTTTAACCTTCCTTTGAAATGATCAGGTTGTGAGATATCTGGACAATATTCCCTCATTTTACAGTCGAGAAACCTGAGGTACAGTACCTCTTCTGGGAAACCCTGGAATGAGTAGCAAGCCAAGCGTAGAAAACAGACTTCCCGACTCCTCCCACACCCTGCCTGTCGCTCAACCCAGCTGATACACTAGACTCCACCCAGCAACACCAACTTTCTGTGAGAATAGTCAGTTTTGAATTTCAGTAGGAAAAAAAAAAGAAAAGAAAATTAGATAACTACTTTGTATCAAGCTGGATTTTATTCATTGTTAACATTTACCTTTTCTGTGTATTTACTTGTGTCTGTGAATTCTGTTCCAGTGGAAAGGACCTACATTAAGGCTTGACCTGGTGTTTTGGATATTGACCTAAAGGGATTTGGATTTGGTTGGGAGATCAGTTTCTCCACTAAATATGATCAACAATTAAGGGGTAACCTTTTCTCTTCCTGAAATTTTTAAAAACCATTTCCTCCCTGAATTCTTTCTTCTGTTTTCACGTTTCATTCACCATGTGAAAGGCTGTGGCCCTGGTGTTCGAGGAGCCCCTTGTCTGAAGCAGCTGCTGCTCATGAACAGGCAGATTCTCTGCACAGCAGCCCTCATTTCTAGAGGGAAGCCTTGTCATTGTTGTGAAGGAAAATGTTTAATGCTCCAACCAGAGGCAACTTAGGCTTTTCCAGAGTTGGCCTTTCTGAGATACTGTAATTAAATTGCAGAGGTAATCATTCTGGGATTAAACTAGGAAATCACACCTTCCTATTTTATTTGACTTAATTGGGTCCTGCAGTTATTAATCCACATGAATATGGTCTTTTTGCTAAAGCATACTTTCCCAGGATGCTGAACGTGGAGCCTTACAGTTTCAGGAATGGCTTGGCAGAATTTCTCTTTGGAAATGGGTGAAGATGGGCAAAGTATAAATCCACGAAGGTGGAGGGTCCCCACAAAAAAAAAGGTGCCCTCAGAAAACTGTGCACTCAGTGCGCACAGTTACATTGGGCAGCACATTACAGCATCCTTACAGTGGGCAGCACACACAGGCCCCTGCTCTTCCTTCAGAGGGACAGGTGGGGAGGACTGGAGATGGTGAGCACTCATTTACCCAGCCAGCAGCCTTTCCCCTGTTCTTTCTGCCTCCCTTATCATCCACACACAGCTTTATGGTACAGGACACATTGGCTTTGTTTGACCTCATTTCATTCTGAATTTTTAAAGCTTGATGTTACTGGTTTTACCCCTTCAAATGAAAAAGTTTATTTTAAACATTGAAATCATTGTTGCCACATTTTTCTAGATGTTTAAAATGGTAGCTGCTGGCCGGGCGTGGTGGCTCAAGCCTGTAATCCCAGCACTGTGGGAGGCCGAGGCGGGTGGATCACGAGGTCAAGAGATCGAGACCATCCTGGTCAACATGGTGAAACCCCGTCTCTACTAAAAATACAAAAAATTAGCTGGGCATGGTGGCGCGTGCCTGTAATCCCAGCAACTCAGGAGGCTGGGGCAGGAGAATTGCCTGAACCCGGGAGGCGGAGGTTGTGGTGAGCTGAGATCGCGCCATTGCACTCCAGCCTGGGTAACAAGAGAGAAACTCCGTCTCCAAAAAAAAAAAAAATGGTAGCTGCTTTATTTGTAGACAGAGCATAGAGATAAATGCTGGGGATGAGGATGCTTGTTTTTAACCTTATCATGTTTGTCTGATCTCTGGGTTCTAGGGGATGTGGAAAAGGAAAGTGCTATAAATTGAATGACACAGTTACAGAAGACTTAGACCTAAATGACGAGCCCTGGAGTGTGAATGCTTTGGCGAAGAAAATAGAGCAAAAGTTTATGATCGAGGTAAGGATTTACAAACAGATAGTTTGCATTAGTTTTGGTTTTTAATTTAGCTTTCTATAAAACTGGAAGTAGGATTCTTTAAATTGAAAATGGAATGGACTTTATTTTTTCTAGTACTGCTGCTCTAGCTGTAGAACCATGAGTCGGTGGGGATGAAATGAATATCAAAGAGAAACTAATAAAGAAATCTGACCTTAAAGGTAGTTTCAGAAAAAGTAGTTGTCTAATAAAATTTTCAGATTTCTTTTTAACTTATGTAGGAGCATAATTAATTAGAGAACCTATTTTTAGCACCTGCCTTTTACCACTGTATTGATTCGTCAGTGTGGCAAAGCAGTCTTTACCTCCAAACCCCGAACTCCCAGGACAAAAAATGTATGATGAAAAATACATAAAAAGCCCAACCGCAATTCACTATTTGAAAACCATTTTGCAGAGATCTTAGCATTTCTGAAGCCTAATTTTGAGATATTCTAGGGGCTTTTCCAAATTTCCACCATATAAGATTCACTATATTAGAGTTCTAGATCATGCCTCTGTAGTCAGACATTCGATGGTGGTAAATTTTAAGGATTACACAGAGTATGGTTGTCAGAAGTTACCTAGATTTGGCCTGTCTGCTGAAGTGGCCGAACGAAGCCAGGGATGATCTCACCCTGTGCCACAGAACATACTTTTAAATGTTAATTGCCATTTGCTGTAATTTACCTTCCATAGGATATTTGCCCTCTTTCCCTTACTCTATTACCAAACAACTCTCTTGTTTCCTACCCTTCCTCCCCAGTATCACCCTCCAAATGAGGGATCAATTTTAGTTCCAGAACTGAGGTTTCCTGACTTCCGATCTAAGCAATACCCTAAAAAGACCCCCATTTTACCTACACTTTGCACTTAATACATTTAGTGAGTAACTTCTGGGATTCATGGGCCCTTTGTTTTAGACTTCAGTGACAAGAAAACCTTTTTTATTTAGGCTTCTTAATGCCATGCTGTAAAGCAAACACACACACTTGTGTATGGCAAAGATACCGAATGCCCGCATTCACTTCCACCAGAGGGGGTCTGATCAGAACTCCCTGTGATCGCCAGAGAAGACTCTGTCCAGCAGGAAGCTGAGGGGGCCTCTGTCTGTAAGTTTTTACATTGTGAACCCAAAATATCTGAGACAACTCTCGATAAATTTGGAAAGTTTATGTTCCCAAGGCTACGGCCGTGACACACCCTCAGGAAGTTTTGAGAACATGTGCCTAAGTTTGGGATACAGCCTGCCCTTTTTTTTTTTTTTCTTCTTGTTTCTATATATATATTTTTTACACCCCGCTTTTACACATTT